TTGGATTTCGGTCTAAGTAGTTTACATGATTGATCGTAACAGATTATCAATTCATCTTCTAGTATTAGCCAGAAAATAATCCAAACTCGGATTAACTAGTGTGGTAACCTGTCCACTCTATATCACTAAATGTGTTCTTCTTAGAGCTGACAGGATCAGCCGATATGGTTTATCAAAAAGAAATATCAAATTTTATAGTGCATGAAGTTTGGTCAAATGCTCAAAGTCGTGGTTCAGCACCCCCATCAATGAATCTATGAGAGGGTTCACAGAAAAAAATTAATTTTTTTTCTTCATTTAATTAAAAACAAAAATTAGTTAATCGCGAACGTAGCGTGTGGTTCATAAATTTTGGATGAAACAAGTTCATCCCACTGAACCTTGAACGTGCATAAAATGAATTCACCAAAATCTTCTTATATTATAATTTTTTTTTTGGAAAGTGTGAACTTTTTCTGTGATATTTTGATGGGAATGCTTCTAAGTTCCGATTTTCAAAACTGATCTTATCGACTTTTTCGCTCTCAATTTTGATTTTTTTACCAATGTGTAAGATTTACTTTCTGTATATTTTCATCTTTGATCATTATGAAGAATACTAGAATATGAGACAAATAAAAAAATAAAATTGGAAGGAAGGCACGTGGTTTGATGCGATTAGATCTCAGATCAGATGTCTGATTGTTTCTGTTGAATCATTGGTGTGCTATGTGCATGTGCCTAGGCCACCAACTCCAATATTTAAGTCAACCAATAGGATTTCATTTGTTCCCTTCCGTGTTTTAATTTTTAGTATGTTACTGAAACTAATTATCTCGTTTGTAACCAACGACATATCATTTTCAGGGATAATTATATAGACATTCACATTTAGACTCAAGTATACATACACAAGCAGCAGCAGCACATGTGTATATATCCATATAATATCGCAAGAAAGATGCCATTTTGATAGGTACGTGTATACAATGATAATAATGGAGTAGTAAGTGATAAATACATTTGATGTCAGAGAATCGTGATTTTTGAACGTGTGCTCTTCTTTGGTTATAAATTTATTAGTACTAATTAGTAGGTTATGTGATTTTAATCTTTTTATAATAAACCCGTAAATATGTGTGTGTGTTGGTGAAAAGGAGAAAAGCCTTTGGTGTAGTTTTGCGTCATTCTTTGTTTACGTGGACAAATAGGTTTATAAATGGTCGGAAATGGAATTTGTATTTCTTAGCATTTTGGGTAAATGTTAAGAAGTGATTTTTTTTTTTAAAGTGATAAGAATTGATGTTAATGTTTTGTTCGATGAAATTAATCCACGTGTATGTTTTTCAACCTATAGTAGGGGATATTGAAATGGAGTACCAGATGATGGCGTCAACACAAAAGAAGCAAAAATATTAGTAGTGGACCTTTATGAAAACGGAGAGAGTATATACATATACAACACATACCTAAAACATGTAGAGTCATCTTCAAACCACGACGTTTATCCAGCAGGATCAAATTTAAAAAACATATATATATGGACGCTCCTAACTGAATGGTGCATATTTATAGCCATATAAACTTTATCATAATATATATATGTGGTAATTTTATCACGAATTGTTTTAAATGCAAATATGAATATATCCTCCAAAACAGTCAAGAATGAGAAAGCACATATTATTATTGTAAGTTATCAGGATAAAGTGATAAATAAATTTTAGAAAGATGGGAACTAAGTTTTGTCATGAGAAGAATATATGGCTACAATCTTTTTGTGGGTACAATCCAATTTCAACTGACCTCGATGGATTTAAGTCACGGGAGAAAGTCAAACATTTGTAAAACAAGGACACGTATTTAGTTGGGGTACATGCATATAGCTAGAGAATCGGACATGGATCTATAGCAAACTTGAAGACTCAGCGGAGTACTAGCGCTAGAGAGGCTCACGCTACGTCGCTACCACAACAAAGGGAAAAACATTTAGCAATGCAAAGTTTCTGATAGTTAGATAGATATAATTTAAAGGATTTGTGATACAATTAAATACAATAAACTACTACTAGTTAGAAAAATTATGGTTATAGTGTTAATTGGTGTTAGGATAAGTATGATATATATATACTAGATCGTAATAGTAACTAAAAATAACGTATAATGTGATGATGTGCCCTAAATTTTTATAGTAGGAATATTATGTAGCAATTGAACCATTTCATATAATTATATATACAATGGTAACAAGCAAATGCTGGTCAAAAGTGTCATATTACATCATCTCTTATAACAAAACAAAAGCCAACAAAATTATTGTTTATATATATATATATTTTTTCAAAATGGGTCCAACCACTTCTCAATTATTTATTCCAAGTTTTGTTAGGTAAGGCTTGAAACCAACGGTTTCTCTATACCAGTATTGCATATATTTTATACGTATACGTAGTAGTCCATGGATGTCCCAAAATATAACATATACTCCAAGAAATAAAAATATTGTGAAGTAACCGTCAAAAACTCACACACCAGTGAAAAAAAAAATTGTTGAACACGGGAATCCTAATTAACCAAATAAGAAAAATATGCTTACAAATCAATACTCCATCCGTCTTAATTTAGCTTTCGTTGTAGACTAAAATTTTTGTTTTAAAATAAATAGTATTGTTTTATAATTTTAATTCAAAATTTATTGATTTTATATATTATTAAATTTTTTTATTGGTTAAATATGGTTAGGTATATATATAATTATATTTTTTTTAGAAAATATGTATAATTAAATGTTTTTTTAATCTATGTGCCAAAAACTCAAAATGACAATTAAATTAAAACAGAGGGAGTACATCTTACTCTACATTGAAATTAGCTTTAAACCAACCCGACCGTGATTAGTGTAAATACATAGAAAATATAATTTTGGCTCTTACGTGAAAGCAAAGACAACCCAAAAGTTTTCTTTGTTGATTTTGCTTACATTAGGTGGGGATTTGGGTTGCTGGAAAAGTTACTTTGGCTCTTACGGAGCCGGAGAGATGCACAACCCTAAACCCTAATCTCACAGTACAAAATACTTATTATCATATATTACTATTTTTCATTCTTGTGTCCTTACAAATTTATTTTTATATCTATGGACATCAACCGGCCAGAATACGAACACATTTTTTTGATGTGGTCTAACAGGATATTAGATAAGATATTTCATTCGACCAACAGAAGGGAAGCAGAAAAGAATAAGATAAGGTGATGGAGTATATAAATGGCTTATAGAACATGCATGCTACACTTGGACACGCTCAATTGGTACGTATAGCTGCATTAATCATTTTATTTTGCAGCCAATGTAAAGCGGTCACGAGTCACCAGCGTCCAAAATGTTTAGTGCAATCACGTTCAAAGAGACTAGTTCCCAAAAACAAGTAGTTTATCTCAAATTTATCCTCGTGGTAATAGCTACAATAAATAAATATTGATTTATCAAAACTGAACAATATAGGGCTTGCAAGTGTTTTTAAAGCTTTGGTTGCACTTATTAAGATAAGTGAACGGAAGTTACGTGAAAACTTTCTTTTACTGCTTTTTGTTGATTTATGTATGAGCCATCATGCAAGCTAACCAAAAAGGTATCTCCCTATCTGACCTATTCACAAATGAATTTGGCAGACATATGATTTGGTTTTTCAAAAGCATATGTATGTGGTGATAAGACGCAGATAGGAGGAAACGTTGGAGGAATCACTATCATTTACGATTTAGTTAAAATAAGTTATTTATCTAAAGATTGATAGAGATAGTGATAGTCATTGGGGAAGATCGAGTTGTTCATAGAATTGATATTGTTCTTTTTTACAGATTTTAAATATTACTCCATCTGTTTCATTATAAGTGTCACTCTATAGCTATGCACACGGATTAAGGAAATAATTAATTTTACATATTTCCTATATAAAAACACAATTACCCATACACCTAACCATATTTTAACCAATAGAAAAACAAATTACATAATAAAAGTAATAAATTTTGCATTGAAAATCGAAAACGACACTTATTTTGTAACGCAAAAAATTCTCTACAGCGACACTTAATATGAAACGGAGGGAGTANACGGATTAAGGAAATAATTAATTTTACATATTTCCTATATAAAAACACAATTACCCATACACCTAACCATATTTTAACCAATAGAAAAACAAATTACATAATAAAAGTAATAAATTTTGCATTGAAAATCGAAAACGACACTTATTTTGTAACGCAAAAAATTCTCTACAGCGACACTTAATATGAAACGGAGGGAGTATAGTTTACTTTTTGATCTGAGGAGGGGTGAGCTGGAGAAATTAAAATAATTAGTTATTCAAGGATTTTGGTTTGAGATGTCAAAACCAACAAGTAACTCTAGAGAAAAACAAAACCGCAAAGAAAAGTATATATGTTTGAGACACCGAAAGCAATAAGTGATTATGTAAGCTAAAATGGACGGTAAAGACGAAGAAGAAGTAGAGTCATAAATCATAATCTACGCAATAATACAGGCAGTGCTGTTTTCCTAAACAGAAACGTGGATCACAATCATAACGATGATACGTTTATGATTTATGATTTATGGTACATAACGATGATACGTTTTTAAAAACAAAGATATTTTAAAAAGCAAAATTCTTACTACTTTTAATATATATTTCTATAACCTTTTGTATGTTGGTCAGGATCTTTAGAAGGATTAATTCAAATAAAACCAGTTAGGAGAAAAGAGATGGATAATTGAGTATAAGAGTATATACCGTTTTTAATTAAGTTTTGTAGTTATATATGTGCTTCACTTGACAACTAGCTAGCTAATTGAGCTCGATCTTTTTTTTTAAATACAATATTAGGGCCTGACCATTCAACTAAACGAAACCGAACCATAGTTTTATGTGTTTTAATTCGGTTTGGATTTAAGAACTGATCACCGAGAGATAAGAGGATGCAATGATGATCACCGTACCACAGTGACTGATATAACAATGAAACGTGCGCAGTAAGAAACAGAGTGTTTACGGTTTATTACACATGGAGAAAGTGATTTGAGTTGTTAAGCTCTTGCAGATATTTTTCTAAGACGACACTGGACAAAAGACATACATGTTCTCCTTTTATCATTCATCTAATGTGACATTTTCCCTTCTTTCTCTTTTATACTTCACGTGCTCTGTACTCAATGCTGAAAAAGTAATTTAAACAAAAATATAATTCACACTTTCATCAAATCAACCACGGAGTACGTAAAGATTATATAAAATTTTATTTATTAGTTTCCAGGTCTCGTGCAGTGCCGACAAATGAGTAAAATCACAAAAAAAAAAGTCTTGTGAATTTCTTCCTTTTTAATATATAATTTTTACTTTCACAGATGTTATAACAAACAAACAAACAAAAAAGAAGCAAAACCATAACCCTAGCACAACTCAACTCAACAAATCAACACGTTCGTTACAAGAAAAACCATGAAACTAAGCCAGCAAAAACGAAACCGAATGATTCACTGTATAGGCTCCTTCTTCAGTTACTATGTGTATTTCATTCTCTGGTAAAAGACGTTCTTTGTTCCACCACAACATATCAGAATCTAAACGCTTTTACAGACATTATCATATATGTTTTGTTTTGTTGTGTGGTGTGGAGAGATTAAGGAAAGAACCAGACTTTGATGAAGATTGAAAGAACCATTTGCAGACCAAATGCTGCAGCCATTACAACCGTCAAATCATTGCTCCCTTCAAGGTAAGACCGTAGATTAAGGGCAACAAAGCAGGAAGATGCACTACCAGCTGCGAGTATTATCACCCATCTCAGAAACTCCACTGGAATAAGCAATGGTAGCTGCAAAAAAAAAAAAGAATGATCCTGACTCTAATCAAACAGTGGCAATTATCTTTAGTGTTACTGATAATCAATCATTTGATTAATAACAAGAGTGAAAGAGACAGAAGTTAGTGGAGATAACTTACAGAGGTTGGAATGAAAATGAAGAGAGAGTATCCCCAGAGGCACCAGAATCTAAGAAGATCAGCTCTGGACCCCATGTACCGGAGTGAGAAGTAAAACGCCAGAGGCACAATAATAGCGTAGCCATAGATTATAGATGCTGCCAAGTTTATGTAGTTGACATCAAAGACCCAAGGTGCTTCACTGTCGGTTCGTTTCTTCACTAGGTACGTGGCACAGTTTCCGAGAGAAGAAAGCACAAACACTAGCGTAGTGCAGATCCATACAAGTCCATACCTAACAAAGCAACAAAACACTCACACAAGTCAATATCCTGATAAAACATTCCTGGTTTCGAAATTTGAAACTACGGTTTTAATCATCAAACACCAGTAGCGATCTCTACTTGAGTAGGAAAAACATTCACCAAACCTATGACATATCGAACTCATTACTCTGACACTTACAAGTGCTATTGGAAACGATGCAGAAGATTAACTCTTAAATGGTAAACAAGCATAACTGAGCAAATTAAATAAATCTCAATAGGAGAAGCCAAAGAACTCTCACAGAGCAAGAGCAAGGGGAACAGAGAGGACTTACATATCAGGGTTGGCATCAATCTTGTTGAAAAAATCAGCACTAGTGGGATACAAGGAGCTCATCAATCTGTTGACAACAACATCAGTGTCCACATCGAAGTACTGGGCGTAAGAGTAGACGTTAAAGAACCCCTTCCAGTTGTTTGTTGATGTCTGTTGTTCAGGTCTTTCTACAAGTTATAGATTAAAAAAAAAAAACTATCATACATACAGGACAGAACAAGGTACATATAGGATCTCCACATGCTTAGAAGAAAACAAGCTCTCCACTTATACAAGCATTCTTTTAACTGTCTAATTAATTACATGTCATTAAAAATAACTCAAAAGTAGTATATAAAACCTGTTGGGGTGTCAAGAGTTTGATAACCCTTTGAATTGTTGTTTCCTTGGAATGGTGGAAAGTTTGCAGATGGGCCTGTGGAGCAGTAAACAAGCAAACATTTAGAGTCTTCCTTTAGCTACTGAAATTTTTTTTTTCTAGCAAAAGAAGATACCTTCGTTTACGCTTGTTATATGTACATTTGTGCTTCTCTTGTCGTCGCTTATCACAGCCTTACCGGAAAAAAAGCGTCTTTTTGTTTGTATTACAAAGGATGATGATGATATAAACATGTGTATCTTAGCAGTTTAATCATGCAAAGTTTCAGCATCCTAATGAAATTAAATAAAAAAAACCGTCGGAGAAGCGGATGGATGTGATGATAGAGACTTACGGGAACTGAACCAAGCAAATGGCTCGTCTGTAGATTAGCCAACGACTCATCCATCGAATTATCACTCTGATCTAAATGAACGATTCTTATCTCATCCAAAAAAAAAAACAAAATCAATTAATCAGATCGGTAGAATAAAGATCGTCCTTTTGCTCTGAGTTTTCTGAGGTTTGCTTTCTCCTTCCTCCGTCGTCCTGGAAAAGCAATCGGGAAAGGAAGACGCGCGCGCTTTTTCAGCAAGTGACTCACACGCGTCTTTTTACGTTATATGGGCCTTAACAAACACGGCCCATAACACAAATGGGCCGTATAAGTTTTTTCATCAGGCCCATAACCCCGAATAAATCCGACCCGAGAATCCGCACAGTGTGTGTGTGTTCCCTCGTCGTCTTCCCTCCCCCCGAAGAAAACGGAGCCCTAGACTCACACTTTTGCCTCCACTTCCTCTGCTCGTTTAAGAAGATGGACACGAACGCCTCCGCCGAGAGATCGATGAAACTTCCTCAACAGCTTGATTACAGTCGCAAACCTTTTCAGGTACTTTCGATTTCTCCCTTTCTTCCTGAGTTTTTGAGCTTATCCCAGGTCTTAGGCTATCTACGTGCTTTAGCTTGTTAGCTTCGACTAGGTGAATACGTAAGTGCTTAATTTAACTTTCATTCTTCAGGAGGCGATAATGCATTTGGCATCTATAAACCTCAGAGATCTGTGTAACGAAGCTAAAACTGAGCGTTGCCGTGCCACTAGAGACTTGACGAGCTGTGGGAGATCTGTTCACTATGTGTTGAATCCGTGTGGACATGCCTCCTTGTGTAAAGAGTGTTATCAGAGGTCTGATCTTTGTCCAATCTGTAGAAGTCAGTTATCAAGAACTGGTGATAAACTCCGGCTTCGTCTCTACTATGAGTGTGTTGAAGCTGGTTTAATCTCCCCAACACATGATGATGATGATGATGATGATGAGGATGAGGATGAACATCAGTTGGCAGCTGATGTTCGTCGCCTTTATTCTCTCTTCGATGTTGCCATGAACAATAGTTTGATATCTGTGGTTTGCCATTGTATCCTTCTGCTGCATTTGAGTGTTATTTAATCTGTGACCATAAATTTCCATATGATAAGGCTCATGTAGGTTCTATAATAGGTTCATGTAGTTTTAGGTAGTTCTTGTTCGCTGTTTCCTCCCTGATGGACAGAGTGTGCATTGTGTTATTTTCATTCTCCAATTGTTGGATGGATTATTGACTTCTCCTTGACAGAAAATGAATAGATATCACTAATGTTTGTATGGATGAGGCAGCTGTATCTAGTGACCCGGTTATTGCTTTCTTGCTGGATGAAGTTGTTGTCAAAGATTGGGTCAAGCGTACATTCAGGAGCATCTTAGCTGAGCTTCAAAAGATCTGTATCCTTTTTAGCTGTTAGAGTATTTCTATGTTTCTTAAGCCAATATATGTGTGCGGTGTTTCTATCTTTAATATTGGTTCTTAGATAGTCTTGAAACGAAGGAGATGCAAGTGTGGTTGGATAAACTCCTAAAGTATTCGAAACAAGTGGCTGGCTTATGTAGTGTGCTTGAAGTTATGGAATCAGCTTTTAAGGGTTCTGTGTCATCTCAGCTTCAAGACGTGCAGAAGCTTAGGGAGAACATTGGTAAAACAAAGCAGGTCAGCTAAAATTCTATTCCGTTTATATCCAAACAACTTTGCACTAGTATTCCTAAATCACTCACTTTAATTACCATTTGGCTCATGAAAGAGAGTGCTTTAACTATTTTAGGCTTTTTAGCTTTACTTTTGAGCTTATGGTGTGTTTTGTTGGTTTTTATCACAGCATCTGGACATTATGATCTGGAGCATAAGACATGGATTTCTGGAAGATGTGAGGTCTAGGTATTCTAATTTCACATCGTGGAAGGCTCTGGTGCTTGAAAGGAAATCAAATGCAATTACGCGTGCTTGGCCTGATGCAGTAGATCAGTCTTCAGATTGCAATATACAGGGTGCTTCCCTTTTTATCGAGGATGCTTTGGAAAATCTTGAGAGAGAGCCAGAGTACTGTCAAGACATAGGGGCAGACCTAGAAATTGGATGTCTGCAGAACAATGAAAGATCAGTTCTTAGGTCCAAAATAGAGGGAAGTTCAGGATCTTACCCATTTGAGAATCTTAGGACAGCTGCTGACACACTCTTTTTACATGGCAGCTCAGATTTGGTTGTTGCTAAGCAAGCCATTGTATCCTTTTCTCATCACCTATATTTCAGATTACCTTACTTTACTTCTAAATACTCACAGTCAGTATACCTTCCTATTTTTTTCTTCTTTGCTCGACTCCTTAACCAGGAAGTAGTTTATTTACTACTTGTTTGATCGGCATTGGACTACCCCTGAAAAATATTGGAAGCACATAATAGATGATTTTGCTACTGCCTTTGACATAACAAGGCATTCATTGCTGGAGTCTTTTGTATTTTATCTTCTCGATGATCCCTCAGAGGAGGCACTCCAGGTACACTTTGACATTCCCAGGGAAAACATATTGAAATATGTATCATTGTGCATGTTTTAATAATCTGTCTGAAACTCATACACATACACCAAACATTTGTTAACTGTTGTAGCTCACAAACTTTTCCAAATTTTATTTCAGGAAGCTTGTAACATTCTTCCTGAAATATGCGGTCCAGAAACATATCCCAAGGTTGCACAAGTCTTGCTAGAAAGGGAAAATCCTGAAGCAGCTCTTAAGGTTTTGCGTTGGTCTGGTCGTGATGGCGTATCAGAACTGGTTTCAATTGGTGAGGCTGTGACAGCTGTTCGTGTGAGAGTGGAATGTGGTCTTTTGAGTGAAGCATTCACATATCAAAGGACTCTCTGCATGAAAGTCAAGGAAAATGAATTGAATACTGGAGCTGTAAAACATCCTTATGATGATCAAGACAGCTTGAGTTGGACAGAATGGATGAAGATACTTGTCAACGAATTTTGCTATCTATCGATTAGGAGAAACGTGGTTGATCGAATCATTGAGTTACCGTGGAACCCAGATGAAGAGAAATATCTGCACAGATGCTTATTAGATTCTGCAACTGATGACCCCTCATCAGCTGTGGGTAGTCTTTTAGTTGTCTTCTATCTTCAGGTAAGTAATTATGTTTTCATGCATTAATCATCTTTGCTTGAACAGAGTTTTGAAAATAGTTTGTAATTTGTGAGCTCGAGAGTAGCTTCAGTGTTCTTTCATTATTCGAGCTTGATGTAGGATGTTGAGAGCAGTGAACAAGTATTAAATCATTTAACGTTCTGAAAAGTCTGCTTCTGTATATGGGTGGCTATTTTGGTCCGTCTTTGACTGGGAACTACTTGTTGTTTGCATTGCTGCAGCGCTACCGTTACATCCAGGCGTATCAAGTCGATCTTAGGCTCGAGGGAATTGAAGAGACTTTCGTGTCCGAAAATCGAATTGGGGAACAAGTAATGTCCAGAATACGATCACAGAGTCAATGGAGGAAAGAGTTAGTTGTAAGTTCTCGAGCCGCCTTTCCATGTACAAGTAGATCCTTCCTCTTTTACTGGTTAAATGTTGCAGACTCAAGTTTTCACCTTTTTACCGTTTTAGTGCTTAGTAGCCTCTTGATACTCGCATGATTGTCTTATAATTCTTAATCTTGGATGTGCTATGTGCTTCGAAACTTAAACCCCCTCGTGTTACTGTTGCTTTGAAACAGGATAAAGCGATAGATATACTTCCAGCAATTCAGCAGGAGCAAGTTAGATCTGGACAACTTTCCGAGATGGAAGATACCTCTGAAAGTTCTTATGAAGCAGCAACAAGCACTGATCTTCCTGATGCACAGCAACCCGGGATGATTTATTCTACTAATTCCGTGTTTCTCCAACGGGCTAACGCTGGCGCTAGAGAGCCAGCGCCTAAGAACGGCAGCAGTCCTTTTCAACCCAGTCGTTTAGTAGGATCCGCTTCCATTGATATTTCCCATGGAAAGCTATTTACAAGCACAAATAGAGGACAAGCTAGAAGCATAACCAAGACTCTGAAGTTCGGCGAAGTGTCCACACCGTTCAAAGATCTTAATAGAGCTCGTGGGAACAGTCAGTTCAAGGGAAAAAGGAGTGATGAAACATCTCCAGAAATAAACGTTGATAGATTCATGGAGAATAGCATGAGCTCTCCTTATCTCACAGCTAATAGTCCTGTCACAATGAAACGAAGCAGTACGGATCTCAATGGATCTGCAAAGAAACCGGAATCCACTTTCTTTGGCGCAAGGATGCAACAAGAAAGAGAACATCCGACCCATAACTTTGTTGATTTGGATGATCCAATGGACATGTCTTCAAGGTACATTTCCACTTTTCTTTATAAACCACTGCGTTACTCTTTGGTTTGCATAAGCAATTTGGTTCAGTTCTTGTGACCACCCCTCCTGATCTTTATTCATGAATGGTAGCTTAAAGAACAACAACAACAACAACTTGTTGGCCACGGAGAGCAGAAATAAAAGTGGCGGATTGAGGTGGAGATCAGATGAAGCAAGCGATGAGGAAGATGAACCTATGCCGGTTAAGGGAAGGAGGACACGTGGATTCGCTGCTAGATGAAAATGAACCAAACACACTCGGAAAAAAAGACATCTTAGCATAGAGAGAGCAAATGATGTAAAGACGGAGAGGCGGTAGTGAGAGCGTTGTTTTCCTGATTTTTTTTTTTTTTTTTGCTGGAGAAAAATCATAATTTTTAGTTTATGTAGTAGTGTACTGGTTATTGGGTTCTGGACACAATACCAGATGTTTCACATTTGAGTATGAACATAACATGAGTTTTTTGTCGAAGATGCGTTCTGTGAACAGACATGTTTTTCTAGCATGTTTGGTCGTTTTGAATATTAGATGAGAGAGAACATGGAGCTTTGGTGTAAAATGTCTTAAAACAATGTTATTGATTGTTCAAGTACGGAGGCTTCCTTCTGTGATTTGGTCTGTTCTGATCCTGGGAAAGATGTTAAAGGATGGGGAATGAATGATAGAGGCGTTTCATACACTTTATGGCCCGGACAAAATCTCTGAGTTTCTAAGGAAACATGTTCAGGTCGTAGAGATTGGTTATGAGTTCTTTGCTGATAGACAGCTCGTGACAGTGTTTCAGCTCCTAACTACTACTGTTGTGAGTTTGATAATGCTGGTGCGGTGATTAGCGTGGATGAGAGCATTATGTGCTCGTTTCAGATTTTGAAGCCCGCAGAGACCAAGTTTATGGTCTACAAAGATTTGATCATTTCATTGAAGGTTTAGTCAATGGTTTGTTCTTAGCAAAACCAAACTAGCGAATGAAAGGATTCGTATGCATTGATTTGTTCCTTGCATGTCAAGAACAAGTCTCTAATAGGATATTTAAAAAAAAATCTAAAGGTTTTCTTTTTTAGCTAAAACTTTGATTTTGATGGGTTATTTTGGCTTTTACTTCTTTTTGCAGATGGAATTGGTCTTTTGCTCAGATAAGCTAATTAAATACCTTTGAAGATTTGGCGTTAAAGTTTGTGCTGGTGGTAGTGAGAACTCTTAAAATGAGAGAAACCGAATTACAAAAAAAAAACTATAGTTAAAGTGGACGACGGCGCGCATAAAGCATGTGAAGGTCGTCCATTGATCAACATCAAAATCGAATGAGTATATAAATTACAAAAGATAAGTCTCCCTCTTGATCATTTGAACGTGAGCTACCTGAGATTGACTGAGAAGTGTCCACTCGTCTTTGTATATTTGTTTTCCGGTAAAATTTTTATTCGTCCCAACAGTAGCATTAACCAGAGTAAATAAACTGCATTTTCTTTTATGAATGAGTGTTTTGACGTATTTGGATTCGAACTGATCCTCTGGCCTGGTATACCGTATACGTGTAAGATTCTTTTCATAGTAGATAGGAAAAGGAGCCTAGTGCTTCTTGTTAAGCTTTAGGGAAACACAAGGAACACTAAAATTTCTAATATCCTTTTGTTTTATACTGTTTTGTTAGTGTTATCTATTAGTTTTGTGCTGTCCTAATTCTGTATATCCCAGTTTACACATTCATTGGCTTCGTTCATGTATCTTAACCCTTAAAAAGCAAAACACATATACCATGCTTAATGAATTTTCGGATAACCTTTTGGATGGGCATAAAATTAAATCAATCTTTAGTTTCAACCAAGAAACCAATAATTTATGGTTGGTCAAGTTATGACATTGACTAGTTATCAAGTTCGTATTAAGTGTTGATGGTTTCTTAAGGTTCAAATCACTCGATTATTCACATCCACGAAATTAAAGAATTTCAGTTATTGTAGAATAGCGAAAGAAAAGTACATATGCAACCAAGAATAAAAAAAAATTAACATATAAATGAATGAAAGCATTTCAAAATAATACTAATAAAGGTTTTTTACTTGTAAATAATTGGTGAGAATATGAACTTACTGTAAAGTATGCAAAAGTATTAAACATTTAAACATACCCGAGTGGGAATACTACTTATAACTGCAATTACTATGAGGAATCCTAAATCCAAAAAAGATTAAATGTTCAATGGATCTAAACACCTTAGCCATATGATTTTTGTTTTGTTTTTGCAATGTCAACTAAACATAAGAGATCCAAACGGTATCTTGGTCCAAGATTAGGGAGCAGAGAGCATTTGCAGCTAATTAAGAGCTTCTTAAACCCTCAAGCTATGGCTCTCCTTAACTCATAAAGGATCCAATCCTCTTTTCAAAAGGCTGCCCCCTCTCTCATCTTTAATGTCTATCTCTATCTCTACGTCTTTTTGACATTCGTGATGTCAATGGTGTCCATTAATTGAGAAAGTTACAAATGGATGATCATGATGATGGTGAACATGCATGTCCTCAAGTCCCATGAAGGACACGTATAACACACACTTTTTCCCATTCAATCTTTCCTTTACATGTTGCTTTTTTGCAGTCGAATTATTCCTTGCGTGAGAGGAGTCTATACCATTAGTTTTCACTTTGATTTAATTTGCATTATTGTACTGATAACTCCTAGTGGTTGTTAGATACAGTTACAACCGGTCGTGTGCTGTATCTCTGCAGATAATGTTTTACAACGCATAGTCAAACAAATAACCGATACAATTAAAAGAATACTAGGACATATACCCATCACACGTATTGACATAATGTTCTATCGGTTAGGTTTCGTTTACTAGATTCACAACGTTTATTCTTTGTGTGGTCTCATTCTTCTTTCTCTCCGTCAAATGCTATTATATATGACTTTATAGCGTTTAACATATATACTTCGTATATTGTATACATTACCGAAATCAAAGCTAACTTAAAACTCCTCATTGTCATTTTCCATAACAACATGCTTGTTATCAGGCTTCAATTTGGATGTGTTTACAAATTATAAACTCCTTTCTTAAGATATATAGAACGTGAAAAATGCACTAGCTTAGAAAGGTTGATCTAGATTAGATTCTCATGGCGAATGCAATCAGTACCAACAAGGACTCATAGTGTCTGCAATTACAATATTCAAAGAATGATTCTGATCTTCAACTTCTTATATTCATCTTCTTTCTCCGCTAAGCTGATTCAACCTCTCTAACAACAAAGCACTTAAACCATCTTGAGTCTATCAACGTGATACAGCCATCACGCTGATATAAACCATTTGACTGCATATACAAACAAATCTTCATTGCCATTATGCTTTTGAATCACCGGTTTGATTGGTTCATAGGTAAATATACTACCCCAAGAAAACTTAGGATTTCTATGACGTGTTATTTTTTGTGAAATGTAACTACCAATACCACGTAACTTTATGTATATGCTCGACCAATTGTTGTGTTCTAGTTCTATTGTTTAGACTTTTCTTAAAATCAAACCTCATTTTAAGAATTATAACCGCGAATGCAAGACGTAACAACAAGTTATCTCTCTGTTTTGTTAGCAAACAAAAAAAGTTAAACATAATAAACGTAAAGATCAGCGCAAATGCAAATGGGAAGATGCATCATACATCAACCAAAAGCCTTGATTTGTTTAGCATATCCAAGTTAAGAGTATAGTCTTGCCGAAGATCCAGACCATGAATTTTTGTAAATTTTTTGATATTACTTAATCTATTTATATTATTAACACTGAAGTATAAAAAGAACTACCCTTCTTTTCAACAAATTATTATATTAATTATTTTTCATTTTTAATCAGTTTCATTAATTTTATTGCTTTAACAATACATCACATCATTAGTTATATTACTATAATAATAGTAATGCAAATTTTTATTTATTAGTTAAGCAACATTAACTTTGTGCCAAGTATAAAAATATAAAATAACTGAATTTTGCATATGGTTACAAGTTTTTAGTAAATTTTTTTTTAATTTTAGTTTCAGTATATGAAAAATACATAGCCAAACATATAATCACAAATACATGTTTATCTGAATAAAATAATAAATTAAACCAAAATAATAAAATTGTATTACATTTATTGTCACTTAATTTTTTACTTCATATAACTATCTTACTAAATAAAAACTATTTCTATTTCACTTAATTTAGTCAAAAACACATAAGTATTTTCTTTGTTTACTGAATTTAGAATACCCATTCAGGTACGGATTGTTCCTCTAGGATATCATTTTGTTTTTGAAATTAGATCTCGTTTGGGTTTTATAAATTTGTGTGAATTTTGAGTTGGGTCTTTCTGGATCTGAATAAGTTCGGTTATGATGTATATGAGACTAAAAGTATCCAAATAACCAATGTCTCTAAAATGAGTTTGGATATTTGTAACAAAAATAATCATATTATTCGATTCGGTACAGATCTTTTGTACACGGTTATTTAAATGATGATACAACTAAAAATATAATACTAATTAGGAAAAATAAAATATCAATATAAAAATATTTAAGAATTAATATCCGCGTGTATGCGTGGATCAAGTGTATGTTGAGAGTAAAAGTATAAATATAATTAATCATTGTGTGAAATTTTGAACTCAGATTTTTCAAAATTGCTAACAGACTAATCAGTTTATATATATATATATATACGAATCTTGAGAGTCCTGATATTTTACATAATTATTGTAACCTTTCTCTATATTGGTAGTATCCTGTAGACCACACAAACTAGTGATCTATTTGTCAAAATTTGCAAGTGTTCAGTAGTGTCTATAAATAAGCATGGGGGAGTGAGTAACTAACATACCTCGAACACAAACAACTACAAAGTCTTTCTCAAAGCAACTTTTCTTGTTTCTTTCCCTTCTCCTTTAAACACATCCCCCTTAGCTACAAAGGACTAAGCCTTTATTTTAGCAAAAAAAAAAGGATTAACCCTTTTTTTAATCAAAACAAGTACACCGCATAAAGGAAAAAAAAGCGGTCCATGGACAAGAAAAAGTCAGTATCTGGTTCCTCCTCATCCTCCTCTTCTTCATCTTTCGATCATCTTTTTGGTCCAAGAGTCTCTTCCTCGTCTTCTTCATCAACAACAGGGTTGTTCCAATCCATTTTCCCACCACCCTCAATGGTATAAATCAACATCATCATCATCATCTATAAGTATAAATTATATCTACGGCTTTCTTATATACAAACTTTCTTTTATTCTCAACGAAAGGGGGCGGAAGCGGACTTGGCAAATCGAAATGGAGCTGCCATATATCAGCCTCCAGGTTTGGGGCTTCCAAGTGAGTCTATTCACTATTAACTACTCTAATTAAGTGTTTTGCACTTGTCAGTCCTTGTAAAATTGCTTTGTCTCAACCAGACTTCAGTATTAACTCAATGAACTTACTACTTCACGTACTTAAAAGTGATAAATTTTGAATGGGGTTACAGATGAAAGAGGAGGAGAAAGGAGAAAAAATAAGGAGAGAAAGCGTTACCAAAATGAAGAAACACAACCACCATGCAACTTGAGCTCATCCATATATTATGGAGGCCAAGACAACTATTCCTCTTCAACCCCACCACAAGCAACAACCAATCCAGATGTTGTAAGTTCTTTAATTACCAAAATCATTGTGCTCCACATATTATCAAAACACTAATTCTCGAGTTAGGTTTCCATTTTATTCAAGCAAATCAATCCAATTAGTAAGAATCTAACTTGCACCCAACCATATAAAAACTTTGCTTAGACAGAATTGGATAATAGCTTATAAAACACATATGAGTAAAGTGATACGCTATATATGTATTCATAGTGTGTAATTTGATTCGAATATGTATCGTTTTATATATGTGCTTTGTATTTAACTCTAAACTGGCTAATTCTGAATTGTCCAGTACAAGAAAGATGGAGAGGAAGGCGATTCTGAAAGTGCTTCACGAGGAAACTGGTGGGAAGGTAAGATCACAAACATTTTGTAATATATAAACATCAGCTTCATTTTCTCTCATTAATATCTCGAACATATTTTATTATTTGGTAATACTGAACTCACTTATTGATAATCAAAATGTGCAGGATCTCTTTATTACTAGTTATCTATCCTAGCCGAGGATGCATTATAAGCAACGGTACCAAGATGACTGATATATTTTTGCTCGATATTTACATTCGATGTCCTCATCTCAAAATAAAATGTCCTCATCTTACAAGTTTACATAGTTCGTGATCATTTTGCTGCAGGAACCTTAATCAAGTGAAAGATGATGAAAGTTGATGTTCTGAACTATACCTAGAAAATATATATCTACATAAACTAGCAGTAATGTAAAAGTATATATACAGCTTAAAAAAGGGAGAAAAAAATAATTCTCACTATAGTATCTAGTGTGTATTATATATAGTTTAAGATGAAATTATCGAATTTATATTATATATAAAGGGGGTAGACTCGTTCTTGTTGATTATGTATGTTTCGACAAAGGCAACAAGCTAGACAAGTCTCTTTATAGTGAAATTAACGTCTATCGAAAAGTCTTTGTATTTAGTTTGATATGAACTCCAATATATCACCCATGCATGCTGCTTCCGCATGGAATTGTTTATGTCATAGTAACAATGTCGTAAGAAGGACAAACTAATCACACAGCCCAACAGTTTACATTTTGGGCCTGTCATGAAAAAAGTAGAAAAGGGCAGAACAGTAAAATGAAAAAAAATGCGCCGTTGCCGGGGATCGAACCCGGGTCACCCGCGTGACAGGCGGGAATACTTACCACTATACTACAACGACTTTGTTGTCTAAATCTCTCCTTAATTATTTATATATTACAAATATATCATCCCACTATTGTACTTTTGTTAGTTGATATCATCAAAATCTAAAGGAAATTATTTGGATAAGCATAGTACAACAAGAAAAGTTGAAAAATTGACATTTTGCTCGGGTTTGCAAAATCCATTGTAAGCTTGCCAAGTGATTATTTATTGTTGCAAACCATTTCAAATTTGTATGACTTATTGACTTATATGAAAAAGAGAATGTTTACGTTGTGATTAAAATTTGAAAAGGTGATCAAGATACCAGATTATCGGTCACCTTTAATAAGTCTTGAACTATGTTAACTGATATGAATAACATATTTGAGGATTTGGTAAAACGCATGTTGTCGTGTATCTAACGATGGCCCGACTCCACTTGATTCACTTATTCATACAGCATAACTGATCTGAACATTAAATCTGCCAAATATGCAAATACAGAAGAAAAAAAAGCTATTATATTATATTAAGCAAACAAATGAAAACAGAGAGACTCTTTTGAAGATTAATGTTTCCGAGGTTTTGACCATTGACGGTTCAAACTAGCTAGTGCTATAGTGCTATTGCTACTCCACAACACATCCTACTTTCTATGTCGCACGTGCTGCGCTCGTGAGTAACAGTGTACACGACACATGCCATGCGATAAAACAGTTGGCGCCTCACGTGCTACAGCATTGCAAAACCGAGTTAACGAGAAAGAATCATTCCCCTTTTGCATGTGGCCAGATAATATTTGAGCCATTCCCTTTGCTTTGAGAGTTTCCAAACTCAAGAATCTAGGTCTTATCTTTTGTTTTTCTTCTTGTTCCTTCGTTGATTGTTTTTATATAACCACGATTAGAGATTAATTACCTTGGAAAGTGTAAATGTTCAGTACTTTAAAATAAGGATTTGCAAATTTTCATATGAATTCTTGAGTACTTTACTTCTTTTCTACGTAAAAATTAGAGCTTGACATGTAGGTAATACACGTCGATTATCACTCATCTCGTAGTGATCATTTACTCTCTTTTTAAGTTTCATACTTTGATGTATTATAAGAATAGTTAAAGTTGCTTTTAGTTTCGTAGGTCGTCATTAGATCTAGTGGAAACTGGATCGTAGAATTTGAGATCATGCCAAAGGAGATTGCAATTTGCAAATATCATATTTTCATGTACTAATCTTTTTCTATAGTTAATTCTCGAAGACGCAATGTATTGAAATTATATTTGAATAATTGTCGTATAAAGGGTATTTTGAAAAGCAATGTAAAAGAGATAGTTAACTTAAAGCTCACGAGATCCAAATGCGGGTGAACGTTGGAACAGCTAAATCCACGTCTAAGATGACAAGGGCTTATGATTACAAATATGGTCAGCAATTATTCTCTTCCTATGCAATCTCTGTATACAATATTATTAATTTATTTGTCTCCCTCCTAAGCTTGTTCAAAATCTAACTTGCTGGCTATACTAATCTTCACCTAACATCCTTAATAGAAAGTTGAGTCAGATTTTCTTACATCGAATAAGTCGATAGTATGCTCAGGAAGAAACATGAAGCCCTTTTGACTCGAGGGAGGCTAATTAGTTTTGTGACAATCGATAAAGGTTATCTAATAATAGAGGCAATAGTGAACCCTAGAGATTATGTCACTTATTACATTCTCATGAAAGAAAGAGACTTAACATACGAGCTGGACGGATGATATCCTTCTGTCACTATTTTTCCCTATAGACTTTCGGCGGGAAATTCGAAATGATAAGTTTGACATGACATTTGTAGATTTCTTTCTTTTTGTATTTCTTCTTCTTTGGTTTAGTTCTTGTTTAGTCCACTCCATTATTATCACCGAATTCAAAATTCGGTACAAGGTAATAAGTTACCCCAACCATTCATTTTGCTCTAGTTCTGATTCAAACTTTATTCTACAAAAAAAAAAAAAAAAAATACTTGTTTTATTTTAATTACTTATTTTCTAATGGACTGTGGAATGAAGGCAGAGAGAAAAGACAGCTTCTGTAAAGCATATGCTGGCAGACACAACCCACCTTCAGTTGCCTCCCTTCACGCGCTCTTCCTCTTCTGTGTAATCCAATGCCCTCAAGCTTCGGCTCATTTCCCATAATTAGGTGTTTTTAATATCCCAATCTGATTAATCTCGTCGTGAATTACGGAATAAAAATGGATTCCACCTCACTTTCTGTTGTTCTTATTACAACATCAGCAGCTTTCTCAAGTGGCTTTAAACACTATTTATACAAAACAGATTATATAAACGCATTAACGAAGGTTATAATTAATATTATTGTCGGTATAGTGCTAATGATAGTATAATAATATAAGTCAAGACATTTGTGAGTAGAGTCCGGAGACCAGAGATGCAACTAGGGGCACACAATATTCGGCGTAAGATATTAGTTTTGTTAAACTATAGAACTTTAGAGTTTCTTTGGTTTAAAAATGTAATAAAAATGGTGTTTATGTTTTCCTGCTTCTATCTATATTCCAAAGAGAAAAAGAAAAACGAGAAGGAAGATCTGTTCCCGCTCTTTTGACTTAACGGTGCTGTCCTTTTCGGCAGGTAAAAGCTGGACCCCACCACCATTTCACTTCTGTCTTTTTCTTTTATTTCTTCTTTTTTTCTGTAAATTATATCTCCCTAAAATATCTAGGCGGGAGATTTATATTTCTATCCAATACAGTTTTATGACGGAGAAGGAGAGGGACGGATGACTGATTAAAAGCTGAAAATAAGCACGTCAGCTGTATTCAAATTTCCTGAGTGGTCACGAGATTTCTATGAACCTAATTTTTAAAATTATATAAAACCTACAAAATAGGGGTCTTCAATGGTTACCAGAAGAATAACGTTTAACCTTTGGGAGTTGAAATTATGTGCCGGTTATAGGAAGTTAGTTGCAATTAGCGCAATTATTTAATGTCTATCAAAAATACTTAAATGCAGCGTAATTATTCAGCAGTAAATGTAATTATAATTGATGGGGAAAAGCAGGTAGAAGAGGAGAAAAAAATGAGAGTGCAAATGATGAGAAGGATTTGCATGAGGAAAAGAGAGGAAGGCGTAATTATGAAGTGTTCTATGCTTTTTACTAGCCCACACAATATTATCTTTTTATATATAAACAGATACTACAAAGACTGAGATTTTACTTAGGGGTAATTAAAAAAAAGATTAGAAGACCCTATGAAACTGTAAATCACTACTTAACTGAGATTAAGTGGGTTCCACCTGTATTTCTCATGCATGCCCCATGCCATACACAATACAGTGAAAACAATAAAAAATATTTATAGAAAATGAAAGAAAAAGATACTGATGGACATAGAATCCAATCACTAAAACAAATAATTTTTTTTTGAAAAAATTACAACACAGTATGTTTTTTTTTTCAAGGAAAAAAAATTACTTAAAAAGAAAGACCAAGGGACATAGTTTTTGAATTTCGTCCATCACGCATTAATTATGGATAACTAAAAAAAAATAAAAAAAAATAAAGAGATAGTGTTAAAGTGCTTTTGAGCTGTCTTATAGAAACCCTGAAGAAACCTTAATAAAAGCAAACCCTCTCTTCAACATTCTCCCATCTTCCCTCTCCTCTCCAACTACACACACCAACACCACTCTCTCTCTCTCTAAAGATGTCTCATCTCCCTCCCCTTTGCCTCCCCGTCCTGGAGAAACCCCCTGCCTCCGAGTTAACCCCGACTCGACTCGGTTTCCCCACCGAGTTCCCTTACGAGTTCGACTCTCCAGCTTTCACCTCCCCCGGCGACTCCACCGACGAGAGCAGCGACGACGAAGAAGGCTTCCTCGCCGGGCTAACTCGCCGACTCGCTCCCTCGACTCACCGCCTCCCTCCTCCTCCCTCCAAGGTCGCAGCTACTTCGCCGCAGTCAACGCTGAGTGGACTCGGAAGCTACTCGAACTCGGGAAGCAGAAGCCCTGTTCTCCCACCACCTTCTCATGCGACGTCGTTTCGTAGAGACAGTGTCTTGGATGTGATCTCTGCCGCGGCTGGAGAGGTAGCGAGACTCAAACTCGGAAGCTACGAGCCTCATCATCACGTTCCACGTCAAAACGCTGCGTTTCAGACCGACCGTTATATCCAGCAGCAGCGTCTCCTCCTTCACCACATGTGGCTCTCTTCTCAGTCAAGAATCAAGTCCTCGGAAAATGCTTTATTAACCAACGCTGCGTTGATGCGTCAGCACGCCGGAACTCCGATGAAACGTCCTTCTACCGGCACCGGAGTTTTCATTCCTCGGAGATACCCAACAACAACAACACCTTCAGAGCCCATCAAGAAACCATTACCAGTCAACACAAAAGTCAACTATGATGAGTTCATCAACGTTAAGTCAAGACAAAGCCAGTTCGATTACGGTAATTATTTTAAGTAGTTGTAACTCTTTTTAAAGTATAAACAAACAGTTAATTTTAGTAATCTAATTTTTTTTTTTAATTTGAGCAGAGTGCATGGTAGCAAGAAGTAAACTACTAGCTCGTCAGGGAAACTACAGAGCAGTTGGTTGTCTGAATCAAGAGAGACGTCTTCCTCAGGACTGGATGTACTGAGACTTGTTTGTTTTTGTCTCGGAAGGAGCGTTAGTTAGAAGTGGTTTGGTTTTAGGTTATAAACTTGAGATTGTTATGGTTACTGGTAATAATAAGGATTTGGAAATCCAAATAAAAGTAGGGGATATTTACAAGTGTGTTACATTAGCATAATATTTTATATGTATTTTTTAGTCACTTAGACCAAAAAGCTCTCTGTAATTTTTATTTTGTTGACCTTGGGAAGGGTTCAAGGGAGTTGAGTGGAGTGTTGTACTATTATTTTTTTCACTTTAGTCGACATGTTAAGTTTCAAAATGTGTTGGGTGGGGGGATTTTTTGTTGTTATTTGTTGTATTAATTTCATAGTTTTATCTCCTATTTCTGGAGGATCTAATGGGGTTGTAATAAAAATATCGGAAATATTTTGTTTCTTTATTTCTTACCTTTATTTCTCATTTTATTGATTAAGAACTTTAAATTTTGTACTTCCAGACCAGTTTCGTATTTTGGGGTTGTTTAAATTTAAAAAGGCAAGTAAGAAACTGTTGTTTCAATTATCCATGAAGCTACTCACTGTATTAACTTCGATTATAGGGAGTTGCATATCTAATGGGTTGATACGTATTCTTTTTGAAAAAATTAAAATAAAGAAGCATATGATGACATGGTAACATGGAAAAAAGCAAAAAGAAAGAAGCAAAGAAGATCTGGAAAAGAAAAAAAAAGAAGATAAGGGTTGCGTAGGCGTGAAGCAGTGTGCAAATATGCACATACTTTGAAAAATAGAACACGCCTTTTTATTAGCTATAGGCCAGACTCTAATTTCTACGTAAATTGGTACTTTTGTAGTTTGATAGACTGATAGTGAACTTTGAACTTTTACAGTCTGGCCTATAGCTATTATAGTACAAGTTTAGATAATTAGGAACGTTGCCATTTCTGAATGAGATCGTTCAACAGACTTTGGATTCAAACTATAGGTCACACTAACCACATAAGAAGAAACAAATGCAACAGCTTTTGTAATTTGTCCATTTATGTATTATGTTAAGAGTCCAGTCCATATCATCTTATCTTAATATGGGAATGATTTTGTGCTATATTATCTTCATGGCTGGCTCTAAGATTTTGGGGGCATATGGCGATTTTTATGTAAACAAAAATTTTGTTGGATTTAAAATATTTTTTGGGATTTATATTGATATAATTTTCTTCAAAAATTTTAAGGGTCTGAAGTAAATGCTTCACTAGACATATCCCAGGACCACCCTGATTATGATGAGCACTTTGACAGCACTAGAGAGACTTATCAACAAACCATAGATACAACCTTCTAGACTAAACCAAGATCAAAGCCAATAACGAGGATAAACCTATATTCACCCTCTGAAATGAAAAAAAGTTGGTCTAATTCGACTAATGATTCATTATTATGTATGAATGTGTCCTTTAAACATAACTAGATTCGATTGATGGCAACTTGAATCAAACACATAGTTTTGGTGTACTTGCGTGTCAACAAAGCAGAGTCAGAATAGTAGTAGTACGTTGAAAGTAATGTAACTATACCTAAAACTTTTTCTTCTTCAGTTTTAAATATCGTTTTGGTTTTGTTTCAAATTTCTAAATATTTTCTTATGAATTATTTCTATATTTTGAGAGCGTTGATTGTTGCACGCATTTCGCAATTCCGAATAAAGCCAAGAGCAATCACATTTCTTGTGCAACACTGAACCATTTCATAAGTTGCTATGGAGTTTCAACGATTCTTAAAGATGAAGTCGAGAAAGAAACAAAAGAAGTGAAGGCACAAAAATCTAAAGACAAAAGAGTGAAGACATGTGTTTGGTTTGGGAGATGTAGATTCAAGCAGCTTTATCATTTGACTTGGTCAAACTTGAACTTATTGTTAACACAATTTACTATATGCTAGATTTTTATAATGTTTATTTTTTGGTTTTATGTTATTTTTTTTAATATTGTTATAAGACGAGAACTGTTACTTTTCAAATAGTGATCTTACAATACTTACATTAGCAGGAGTAGTAGGTCATTTTTTTTCATTTCTACTTATCCGAATGATTGTTCATGTTTTTAGTATAGAATGCTATATCATAGTTAACTTTTCATGCAAAATCATTCCATAACTAATTGTAAGCACGCATGTATTATCTAAGATATACACCAAAACTTGAGATGCATGATTAGGAGTGCATATTCAGACCTAACCTAATTATTCAAATCAAGATCATTCAAAATCATTGCAGAAAGTAGCAAGTTATCCGTTCAATGAAAATGGAACATACCGAATCAAACCTGTACTGAAAAATTGAACTACTGAAATTTGTATTTATGACATATTTATGATAAAAATTAATACTGAAATAGGTATTAATAATGTCCGGTTAGTACAATATCAATTATAATCTACACTCACATTTGTTTATTAATTTGAACCAATTAAAATTTAAGAAATTTCATTAAACCTGAGACTAAACAAACAAACCGATACTAGACACTTCACTTGAATTAATTTAATCTCTAGCTAATTGAGATTCCATTCTATTGAACCCGAACCATTATATAGTAGTGAATTATTATTATGTTTTGGTAGGTCATCGTTGTTGATAATTTTTCGAAACTATAATAATTATTAAGCCAGTATGTCTCTCAGAGGACGACAAGGTGTCCATATATATGGCAGCAGTGTGAGTAAAGCAAAAGCCATAATCAATCTTCGTTATCTTTATTATCGGATAATTTGTATTCTTTTCTACGCAATTGGATAGTGTCGCTACTGCGAGTAATAGCTCAGAGACTTTACGTCGACAGATAGCTTAGACCCTTTACCTAGAAATGATAGCTCTACAAGAATTTAGATGCAACTATGATTTAAATCTATGAGTTGCGTTTCTAGAAGTAATTTACTGCTACTATTTTCGGATGAAAAAAAATTATATAAACTGAAGATTTTTAAAATGTATGTATAAAAATCCCCAAATCCAAAATATACTAGTATAACGTTTTCGACTTTGATTATAATTTTTTCAATCACACAAACTAATATATAAAAAATATATTTCTATATAGAACATACTTTTGTCACGACTTTTTTAATCTATAAATACAATGAAATTTATTTATTATATAAAATTTTAGTTATGTTTAAATAACTTCATACAATTTATCCATAAAGTTATGAATCCGGAGGCCTTCTTTTCGTCGGCTATCAAAGGCCCAAGATTGCCCCATATTTTGGCAGGCTATAAAAAAAGAGGATGATTTGGGCATCTCTGTTTTTTTTTTTGTTTTTGGTTAATTGGGTCAAGGAGAAAGTGTTCCTTGACGAATAAGAAACAAAGAAACTGATGTTAAAAGAGTAAACTCTGACTCTGTGTCTCCGAGGAAGCATTTTATGATTAGTTGCTGTGTATGGGTTTTGTGAAGAGGAAGAGTTTGCGATGTACGATGAGGAATGAACCGCGAGCCGTGGAGGCAGGCGGCGAGGATGGAGAAGGAGTTTAGGTCAAATTGATGGTGGAGACGGAAGAGGTAGGGTTCGGAGATTACGGAGAAGCGATAGGATTTTTATATATATCGACAGGCCATGCATGCTCTATATGAAATTACACGAACGATCATCACATCTGAGCTGAACACATAATTGTCCATAGTATTTTTTTAATTTGTGATTGTAGTCCTCCACTTTTTTGCAACCCCCATTGACTTTCTTCGTGATGGAAGATCCTTACTTTTGAAGTCGTCAGTGAAGGACATTGAAAATGCAAACTCGTTAAAAAGAAAGTCAATATACAACAGCATGATAGTGAATACCAGTAGAATATTAAAATAATGTTAATGAATAGTGGATTCAGACAAAAAGTTATGTATCAACCGCAAATTCACATACTGTATAATCTCACAGCGTATGCTACTCAGTGACAAAACATGCTACTCATTCCTCTTAAACAAATAAAATAAAATTATAACATCTAAAATAAACTAAACCATATACTTATTTAGAAACGGTTACGCCTGGTTAGGTTAATACTACTTAAGTCAATATAAGAATGGAAACCAAAAAGTAGAAAATAATTAAAGTGGAACAAAAAAAACTGGATGAAGGTGGAAATTAAAAGATAAAAAGGATAACAAAGGGTTGAAAAACAAACCACATTGCTCTCAACTTTTAGAGAGAGAGAGAGAACATATTCTTCATAGCAACTAGAGGAAGGATCCAAAGGGATCGCATTGATCCTAAGTAAAGTGAATTCTCCTTTTTATTTTCTTAAGAATTGGCAAAAAAAAATCCCAAAAATTTGCTTGGTTTTGGATCATGCTATCCCTTTCGATTCATCCTTCGGTAGCTTCCTCTTCGATCACGTGGTTTTAGTAGATTCTTCACCGGAGATCTTGTAGGCTTAACAGTTCTCTGATACTTTGGTCTCAAGCCAACAGAAGCAATCTTGGAAACTCTCTTCTTACAAGTAAGTTTCAAAGACTCTTCTTGTCCAAAAGTGAATCGTGCCAAGAACTGAAGACCTACCTTATTTCTTAACGAAAATATTTGGGATCGAATTTCAAATTTAAATAAAAGGAAATTCTTTATTGGTTTTTTTTTGCTAAATATCTTGATTAATTATGAAATATTACAATATATGACTTTCATATGTATCAATTTAATTGTCATGGTAAAACATTTTTTTTTCAAAATAAATATCGTTTACAGATTTGAATGAAAAGTTTATTGATAATGTTCTTGAGTTTATTCTTCTATTAGTTGAAATATAATAATAATTTTTTTTATTTAGAAAATAAATGTTTTTTAATCTGTGTGTATAATCAGATGGTGTATTATCTATGAAATATATCACTTGAAATTATTTTTAATTGGTTAAAACTGTCCTGAAAATGGCTACATGGCCATTTCTGAATACTAGTTTTTCAGTTGTATTTATGGTATATATATATATATATATATATTGGTGGATATTGGTGTATATATATATTAGTGCATCTTTCATATCAATTATTTCCTTAGATATATGGTACAACTTTATATTCATTTCGAGATTACTTTCGACACATGCTTACTAGTTTGAAATCCAAGTCCCAAAGTCTCGTTGGATCTCGTTAGATTAGTCAAAAAAATAGGACTTGGAGTAAAGGTGTACATGTAATATAAATTATATAAGGATAGATGTTGTTCACACAAAAGGAGGATTTGGACCGTTTTAACTTTTACCCCAACATAGTGGAATTTCAAGATGAAAAAGAAAATTATCAACAGCAAATCCAAAGAAAAAACGAAGATAAACATTGAATCTAACTAAAACCCATATAAAATTGGATAATTCTTTCAAATAGACATTTTTAAATTTTTATCACAAAATAGACATCAAAAACTAAAATGACCAAAATAGCATTTTTTATTTTAAAAATTTTAATTATTTTTAAAATTCAAATCCTATACTCAAAAAGCCACTGTACAGATATAAATTTTAAAAATAAAAATGAGCAAAATAAACTTAAATATTTTATCAAAATAAATAAACATACACTTATACATTTTTGGTTAAATAATCCTAGACTTTTTTATGTAGACTACAACTCTAAATAAAAAAATCTAGGATTATTTAACCCAAAATGTATAAGTGTACGTTTATTTATTTTGATAAAATATTTAAGTTTATTTTGCTCATTTTTATTTTTAAAATTTATATTTGCGACAAAAAAAAATTTCGGTTTATTCTAAATAATTTCTCTATAAAATATAGTATATATATAAAAAAAGTCTTCATCGCAAAGTACAACGAGTTACAGACTTATCTTAGTTAACAGCAAACCCTATATATATTTTAGTTTATATTTTTCTTCTGTTAAATGCATATTTGCCCCAGTTTTGAATAGAATGTCACTCGCAAATTTGTGGCAGGTTTAGAAATATTTTGAAGAAAAAATTGTGGTTACCATCATTACGTTTCGTCTAAAGAAAGTCCAGACTATCTGAAAATAACAGTCACGATCATAATTTGAGGACATCATCATTAGTTATATGGTTGACTTTCAAACATGAATACGCATATCATACACACATTATGAATATCTTTATTATTATTTCCTTCTTACAATCATTTTTCTCCCCACTGTAATGTGTGAAAGAAGAAATGAGCAGAAAAAATATCTAAAGAAATCAAACTGAACCAAGAAGAAAAGGAACAGAATCATGACATTGAATTTGATGTTGTTTACGTGCAAAAGATTTTGGTGGACCGGCAGATATGGAAGAAAGGACGATGTATTTCTTCATATGCGAGGTTTGAAATTCAATTGTCTCCTTCTTTCCCTACACTTTGCTATTTACGTATGCTTACAGTTATCTTTATATTTTGGGTAATTTGCAAATTCCATTGTCTCACTGTTTTATCCTCGTGTAGTTGCTTGAGTTACACGTTCCTTTTTCGACATTGTCAAATTTCAGTGTCTTCATGGGTTCAGCTTAGAAAAGCCAGGTACTGATACATTTAGTTAGACCACCTTTCAAGCCCATGGATGTAAACGTATGTAATGTAGTAACTGTGACAAGTGACAACGGTTCCACAAGCATCACACGTGGTTTATGTTAATCCAGCTTCCAACTTGCAAATCAAATCACTTGATTCTGCTCTGGTCTTCATGCAAGATTGAACCGTTGGGGAGGAGATAAATCATTAATATCTTAAATGTCTCATAGCATCAGTTATTCTTCTAAACAATATCTTGAATCTTTATTGGTCAAGTTTTTTTTTTTACCAAAATTATACTCCTACCAAGATAAAGGTGGCAAAAAAATATTATCTTTTGCTTATCGGGATAAAAAATATACTGGACTTCGCTATAAAGTGTCCTTGCAATTAATTGTGTCCACAACACTAAGACTTCTTTATCGTCCATATTACTAAGGCACTACAAATCATATGGGATACAACGATATATACTTATTCCTAATTAGTTTTTTAACTACTAACTAGATCTCGTCCGCACAACCGTGCGGATTTTCTTTTTATTTATAATTTATAAAAAATTTTATCAATAAATAATAATATATTTACTTATAAAATCATGCAAAATACTAAAATAATAGATGTTAAAGTATCATTTTTAAACACAACATGAA